AAAAGGCTGTCTTTCCTCCAACATATGTCTTTGGGCCCTTTGTTGATCAAATAGCTGAATGTGAGGATGTTTCTGTATCTTCTATTCTTTCCTATTGATTCATGTGTCTGTTTTTATGCCAATACCATGCCACTTTTTATCACTGCTGCTTTGTAGTATAGCTTGAAGTCAGGTATTGTGATGCCTCCTGCTTGTCTCTTGTTATCCAAGATTGCCTTTGTATTTCTGAGTCTCTTTTGGTTCCATGTGAATTTTGGGATTCTCAGTTTTATAAAGAATGCTCTTGGTATTTTGATTAGGATTGCACTGAATGTACGTATGAGTTTTGGGAGTATGATCATATTGACAATATTGGTTCTACTTACTGAGGAACAGGGGATGTCTTTCAATTTTCTGATGTTCTTTTTGATCTCCTTTTTCAGAGAACTGTAGATTTCATTGTAGCTGTCTTTCACTTCCCTGGTTAGGTAATTTCTAGACATTCAATTTTTCTTCATGTTATTGAGAATGGTATTCTCTCCCTAATTCTTCTCAGTGAGTTAATTATTGCTATACATGGATGCTATTAATTTTTATGTTGATTGTGTACCCTACGACATTGCTGATATTATTAAGTCCTGGGCTGGGGATTTAGTTCAGTGGCACCATGCCTTCCTTGCAAATGCAAAGCCCTGAGTTCGATCCCCAGTACAAAAAAAATTAAATTTAAGCAGTTTTTGGTGGAATTCTTTGGGTGTTCTATGTAGAGTACCATGTCATCTGTAAATGATAGTTTGGTTTTTCCCTTTCTTGTACATGTTCTTTTTCTTTCTTTCTCTGGCCAGATTGTGTTGGCTGATGTTTCTAGTACTGTGTTGAGTAGAAGTGGTGATGATGGACATCCTTGTCTCGTTCCTAATTTTAGAGGGAAGGTTTTGTTCTTTCCATTTAATATGATGTTCCCATTTGTTTGTCATAAACTACTTTCTGTCATTGATTTTAAGATCTTTTTAGTAAAATACTGCCTCTCTGTGATGTGATTTCAAAATTATTTGTCCATAGATTATATGTTATCCCTCTAACTATTTAACTTAAGTGGTTTGGACTCTGTATTTTGAGTAAAGTTTTGCTTCTGGATATAACAACACCAACAAATCCAATCATACATCTTTTATATGTATAAAAGATACATATGTAACTTTTAAAACTTCCACTTCCACTTTAACCTTTTTTCAATACTCTTTGCTGCCTATATTCTATTGTTATTAGCAGCTGTTCTGAAACATAGAAGGAGAAGTAGAAGGAAGAGAGAGAGAGAAGGGTGAAAAAGGAGGGTAGGTTAGTAAAGGGAAACATAAATAAGAGAAAATAATCACGGGGGGAAGTTAGCTATGAGCCAGGTTTGTTGGAGGCTTTTTAGTTGGATTGAAGGGTTAGTGTTGAAGGTTTTAAGAAGCCACTTGTAGCAGCAAGGATACAGAATATTATATATACATGGCTACAGAAGGACGGGTGTGTGGAGGTATACTTTGAGAAAAGCTATGAAGTTGTCTGAACCTGTTGATCGATATATCTGTGCACCTATGAAGTAGAACAGAAGCAAGGGAAAAGAGAATTCCAGTTAAGAAAAGCAAAGAGCCAGACTAGAGTACAGAGGGTTACTACAAAGGAAGATCGGAGTGACTGAGAGAGAGCAGACTCTACCAAACAGAAATCTCCAAAGGAAGAATTTGGAAAGTTGGAGAACCAATAAGAGATATCACAATACTTTTGCTACAGAAGCTTGAGTTGAAGAAACAAAGTAGGGAGACAAGAAAGTGAGAAAATAAACAACTAAATTGAAGCAACCACCCCCAAAAAAGTAATAAAAGAAAATCCAGTAGGAACCCAGATCAAATGCTTCAAGAAGACAATATACGTGCAGTTCACCCACGGCCACTACGCCAGAAAGTCTGAGCATCCACACAATTGCATTGCTGCCTTAGTTGTGGTCTGATTGTAGGCAACCATACCGATTTCCCCTTCCCCTTGCACTCCAAACCCAAATGAACACAGTCTCAATAATTCTCCCCTACAGCTCACAGGCAGAATCTGATGCTGCCCCTGGCTATAGATTTGCTCTTACAAAGAAGAAACAAAAAGAAAATAGCACAAAACTTTATTTTCAGTGAACTAAGAGAAAGTAGTAGTATAAATGAAAAGAATTAGCATATGTATTTAAATATTTTGATACAGGGGAATAGGTAATTTAGGGAACTGTGTGAAATTCTCCACACTTTGTATATATCTATGTTCTAATATTTATATTTTGAGCTTCTATTATAAGAGAAACCATGTGATATCTAAGCTCGCATTGACTGATTTCATTTAATATCATGCTCTCAAGTAGCATCCACGTACTGATGAATGCCTCAAGTTTATCTTTCTTTATGGCACAGTAGGACTCCACTGTGCATAAATACCACATTTTCCCTGTTCATTCATCCTTTGATGGACATACACACTGTTTCCAAGGACTAGCTATTATAAATTGTGCTGCTATAAATGGATGTGCATCTATTCCCAGGATGATTTTAACATTTTTGGGAAGATATCTAGAAGGGGGCTAGCTGGGTCAAGCAGAATTTTTAGTTTTACTTTTTTGAGGACTCTTCATATCGATTTCCACAGTAGCTGTACTATTTTACTTTTTTTGACAAGGTCTCACTTTGTAGTTCAGGCTGGCCCTGAACACACTATGTATCTCAGGCTGGCCTCAAACTCATGGTGCTCCTCCTACCTCAGCCTCCTGAGTGCTGGGATTACAGGCCTGTGCCACCATGCCTGGCTTTTTTTAAAAACTGCTTTACAATTCCACCAATAGTATAGAAGAGTTCCTTTTTCCCACATCTCCCTGGTGCTAAGAAGTCCAACATCATCTACACACCTCCAGCGACTGTCCCGGGAATCTCGACCACATACATCGCATCCTAGATTCCTCAAGCAAGCACCTCCTCCCCAAACCCCTAGAACTTTACTTCTCCTCCAGCCGATTGCTGACATCATTCTCAATCTCACCGTATCTGCTCCCAGGAAAATAAGCCACCCTTGCTGCTCACACAAAGCCTGTGTTCAAGTGGTGTCACGTGTGCCATCTGTCATATCTGGTGCCAAACACTAGAAACGGAGCATCCCTCCTGGAGGTGCTTCCAGTCTATCTCAAGCCTTTGTCCTACTGAGGCCACCCAGCGACATCAGCCCCGGGACCCTGCCCCAGCACTCCAGGCAGCGCTGTCATCCCAGCCACTTCAGACTGGGTAAGGCCTTGTCCCCGATTCTTGGCCACCTCAGCTCTGCTTTCCCATCTCCCACTCACTGGGACAGACAGTGGCTTGTCCTGCCTTCCATGCTATTTAAATCCAGTGCTGATCGTGGAACAGTCCCTGGAGGGAACTGACTTCTCGTTTCCTGGCCGAGCACAGACACCTGCTTTACTCACTAGCCCACACTGCCATTACAGCCCTGAGTCACAGCTTGAAACATCTGCTGTAGGCCTTGTTGCTGTTCATTACCTCTCTGCTCTCCATGAGGAACTTTCCTTCTTCTACCCAGGCCTTTTCCCCAGCCTGAAACCTCTCCACCTTTACCCTGATCCGAAACTCTTCTGTAACACCACATGGCCACAATATAAACTGGAGTACAGCTCAAAAAGGAGAAGATGGCACGCCTGACTTCTCTATTGAGGTACTCAGACAGCGACTTCCAGAGGCTAAACGAATGGTCTGAGGTGCCCTATGTCTAGGCATTCTTTATACTCCATAGCCTTCCTATGTTACATGCCTCCTGCAACTCCTCTCTAATCCTTCTTCCCTTCCACCTGCAACCCCTCCACCCAGAGCTGACTCCTCTCTGACAACAAACTGACCTTGCTCTCCCATGGCACCTCCCCATGCCTCCTCCATGGCTGCACCTGTAGCCTCTACCTGCCCTCCTCAGAGCCTCCAGCCGCTTCCTCCTCCCACCCCTGAGCCTCCTGTGACTCCTTGGCAGTTCCCTGCTTAGCTCTCTGTAGCTCTCCCCAGCCAGCTCCCAGCTGGACCTCCTATCTATCCAACACTGCCCCGAATCTAACCCTCCTCCCTATGCTGTGCCCAACTCCTCTGCCTAATACCTGGTCCATATTATGGCTTGGCGCTTCACTCCTCATCCCTCACTTCAACCCCAAATCCTTGCCCCCAGGCCCTCAGTTCCTGCTCCATGAAGTGGCAGGGGTTGAGGGAACAGTTAAGAGTTTGAGTTCCTTTCTGACAGACCTTTTTCAAATTAACCAGGGTTTAGGCTCTTTCTCCTCAGACCCCACCCAACATATCTAAGAATTCCAATACCTAACTCAGTCATATAACCTTACCTGAGCTGATTTAAATGTTATCCTTAGCTCCACTCTCTCTTCAAGTGATCTCTCTGGCCAAGAGTTATGGGGATGAACACCTCCTTCTGGTGGGCCTACAGCTGTCCCCTGGGAAAATCCAAACTGGAAGTACTGGGCAGATACAGGGTCATAGCTAGACAACATGATTTCTTACACAGCAGAGGGACTTTGCAGGGCGGCCCATAAGGCAGTTAATTTTATCGAGCTCAAAGGGACCACTCAAAAGAGATGAAAATCCAGCCCGGTTTATGGTTCACCTGGTGTGGTGGATTGACTAATGGACAACTTGTCATGCCCAGCTGAACAGAATCAGAGTGGTCTGGGAATGGAGGATACACCTGAAGACTGTTACCAGAGAACTAGAGGGGAGGATCTTGGCCCATTGATTTCCTGGGAGAAACCTGCTGCAGATGGTCTTCCTGATGTGAACTAGCCTGCTCTCGTTGGAGCAGGAGCTCAGGGCCTCACTGTTGATGGGAATGGCTGCTGTTTTCATCTGGGGAGCTCTGATCTTCACCATGAGCATCACTTCCTGGCTCCAATGTGGATCCCTCAGCCTGGTACATCTGGGGATCTGATCTCCACCATGAGCATCACTTCCTGGCTCCAATGTGGATCCCTCAGCCTGGTGGCACAAGTCCTTCACCCCACTAGCATAGGTTTTCTGGCTTCCACCATTGGCCTTTGGGCCATCCAGGTACAGATCCTCAATACAGAGAAGCATAAGACATTGCTGTGGGCTCTGGCTGGACTCATGGAGAATTCAGCCTTGGATTCTAAACCTTTAGCTGGACTTGTGGGGACACTGATGGGATCCAAGGCCTCAGTTGGATTCTTTGGGCCTTTAGTGTGTGGTTAATCTTTTTTGTACTCCTTGAGTAATTATCATAAAATAATCTTCTAACCTACGTGTGCTGTATTTAATGTATTCTCTCACCAAAACCCTGACTACAAAACCTCCCTACTGCCCTTAAGCAGTGCACACCAGTGGACCCAGAAAAGCCAGGACAACTCATCCTTTAGATGCACTTTATTACTCAGTCTGCCCCAGACATTCATAAAAAATTACAAAAAGTGGAGACTCAAACCTCGCAACAGGAGCTAACAAATATAGCCTTTTTAATAACAGAGATGAAAGTGCTTAACTGCGGTGCATTTCTGAGCTTCAGATGCTGGCCTCTGCTAGAAGAAACCCTCCAGAACGGGCCACCAAGTTAACTACAAAAGGATCAAAAGCACCCGATTCTAGGCACCCCTCCAGGTCCATGCTTCAAATGCCACCAGAATGGTCACTGGGCTAGGGAGTTCACGTCCAGGATTCACCCAAAACACATTCTTCCTACAGGGCTCCTCATGGAAAATCTGACTGCCCAAGGCCGACAGCTGCCCCTGCCACTTCTGGGCCATGATCCCAGAGACCCTTGACCAGCTCCTTCTCAGACCTTTGTGGCCTGGCCAACAAAGACTGCTACCACCCAGAGGCCTTGGGCCGTCTCAAGTGCTAAATTCTGGGTAACTCTTTGGTGAGAAGTAAGTCCACCCCTTTCTTCATCCAGTCCACCCTTCAAGGACCAATCTTCCCAGGCCAAGTACTGTTGTGGGCGTTGATGAAAAAGATCTCAGGACACCCCAATTGGCTGTCAATTGGGCCAGCACCTTTCCCACATTCATGCTTGGTTATTCCCACCTTTACCAATTCCCCCTTTGAGATGAGACACCTTAACCTACTGACCACCCCAGGACATAGCTAACACTCATAGCTGCCCTGATGTCTTGTTCCTGCCTCCCCCACGACGCCCATCATATCCCCTCTCAATCCCAGAGTCTATGATACCTCCACTCCATTCTTAGCTCCACCCCAACAATTTATCATCCTTTTCAAGCCTAACCTCCCCTACCCTGCCCAGCAACAGTATTCCATCCCTGACCCAGCTTTTGGGGGCTTACAACCTATTATTTTTCACCTATTGTGGCACAGTCTTGTAATCCATCAACCCTCCTTACAACAGCCCCACTCTCCCATTACGGGGGTGGCTGGCTTACACAGACTGTTAGAAGATCTCCGCACTATCAATCAGACTGCCCCTCCAATATACCCGATGATGCCTATCCCCTACACTTCTGTCCTCCACCTCAGGGTTCCTGCCTGTGCAACTGAAATGTTAGAGAACCGAGAGAAGGATAAAAATCTAACAAAATTGCCTTTTTTTTGGCGGGGGGCTGGGCTATTGTGACCATAAGAGTGACTCAGCCCTGTAAATTCTGAAAATTTCTGTACAACAATCCACACAGTCAGTGACAGGAATATATGGAGATGTTTTTACAGTGGGCACTTCCCACTATAGTTTACTGTAGTCTCCTTAATCTCAATTATTCATACCTTTAATATTTTGTACTTTAGCGACACTTTAGGTCTGTCATTAACCTGTACATACTTTGGCTTTGGAGAAAGTGGTCCAAAAGAAAGCTTCCTCCCAACAGTGCTGGGGAATATGAGACATATGCTGAAAGGAAGATGCTAAATCCACACAGCTCACTGCTCCTACTCTGTGGTCTGTCCTAATAGCAGCACCCTCCCTCAAAGTGATGTATGAGCTCTCAAAGTGTGAAATCAGACTCACAAAGATCAGAATGCTGACTTAAGATGTTCTGTCAACATTAGAATTTAACACCAAAAGTGGACTGATAATTTTTTTTCACCAATGTTTTTGAGGTACAAAGTTGCACAAAGGCTGTTTACCCTTTCAATTTGTAAGTCTAATTATGTTTTCATTCCATTCCAGATGGGGTGGTGGGGTGCAAGATCTAAGATAGTTCAAATTATAAAGCTTTTATTATTACAAAGCAAAACAACATGAGACAGATACTTTCCTGGCCAGGTGACTTAGGGACAAGTCCATTACAAATTTCAGGTAAGAGCCAGGCACAGTAGCATGTCAAATCCCTATTATGGGATCTAAAGCCAAGGATGGACTAAGTGAAGGAGTTCAATGTCTGCCTAGGCAAAGGAGCAAGACCCTGTCTTAAACAATGTCATGTAAGAACAATAAGGTCCACAAACAAGACACTTTCTGTTAGTCACCAGTCATAGCTCAAGTCCTCTTGGCTAACAAGGAGTTCTTACCTAAACTATCAGTCAAAAGAGAATAAAAACTTCGGCTGACCTCAGGTGTCTCACAATTCACTACAGATTGGACAAAGTGCGCAAATTCCTGCCTTCCCTGGGGATGGTTTAGCTACTAAGCTGGAGAGGTTGAGAGGGTTTGAGCTGTAGGTATTGACAGTGACTAACTCTGGAAATTTTGAGCAGGTCAGAATGTGCAAAAGTGTTTGAAGTGTCCCATATACTTGATATTCATAAAACATGTTCAAGTTTAACATCTAATAATTCTATTAAATTAAAAGCTTCCCTAAAGTCTACCTGCAGCATGAATTTTCTGGTGCCGAATGAGGTGGGAGCTTAAGCTGTAGGCTTTCCCACATTCACTGCATTCATATGGCCTTTCTCCAGTGTGAACCTTCTGGTGCCGAACAAGGTGGGAGGTTCTGATGAAGTCTTTCCCACATTTGCTGCACACGAAAGGCCTTTCACCAGTGTGAACCCTCTGGTGTGCAATAAAGTCAGAGCTCCGACTAAAAAATTTTCCACAATCGGTGCATTTAAAAGGCTTTGACTCTGTGTGAATTCTCTGATGCTTAATAAGGGTATATTTGTGGCCAAAGGACTTCCCACAATCACTGCAATCATAAGGATTTTCTCCAGTGTGTATACTCTCATGTTGAGCAAGCGTGGATTTGTGTCTGAAGACTTTCCCACAATCACTGCATTTATAAGGCCTTGCTCCATTGTGAACTCTCTGGTGTACAATTAAATTGGAGTGATGGCTAAAGTATTTGCCACATTCACATTTGTAAGGCATTTCTCCAGTGTGGATCCGCTTGTGTTGGGTAAGGTTGTCTTTTCGACTAAAGGCTTTTCCACATTCACTGCATTCATAAGGCTTTTCTCCAGTATGGATCCTCTGATGTTGGACAAGTGTAGCTTTACGGCTGAAGGCTTTCCCACAGTCACTGCATTCATAAGGCTTTTCTCCACTATGGATTTTCTGGTGCTGGGCAAGTGTATCTTTGCGACTAAAAGCTTTCCCACATTCACTGCACTTGTAATGCATTTGCCCCACATGAAGAGCCTCCCTACTCTCAGTGCTCCTGGCTATCTTCCTCTTCCTATGGGTGACCTTTTGTTGGTGATCCCCCAAACTGGTCTGGAAGTTTTTCTGCTGTAATTTACATATAAAGGGCTTCTGTGACAAGTGAGGTTCTTCATCACAAACTATCCAGTTCTTCACCAACGAGGCTTTGCCTTCATCTCGTTGTGAAGGTTTCTCTACAATGTAATGCTTTAGGTTTGGGTGAAAGTTTGCACAGAACCAGAACTGTCTCCCACAGGTTTCACATGTGTAAGTTTTAGGTCTGTGGTATGTTCCCTGGTGTTCACCCAGGTACAAAGTATCTTTTAAGATTGCACCACATCTGTCACAAGAGTGATCCACCTGGGTAGACAAACCTGCCTTAGAAGTACGAAAAGGTAACACCGCTACAGAAACACTCTCCTCAGCAGGTGCCTCTTCATCCTTCACTGCATACCAATAACCTAAAGAGATAAAAGTACTGTTGTCATACATTATGATTTCTTTTTTTTGTAATGGGGATCGAACTTGGGCCCTTGCACTTGTGAGGCAGGAGGCAGAACCACTGAGCCAAATCCCCAAACCACAACATTATGATTTTAATGGGAGGAAGCAACATATGTGTCTAGCGTACTCAGGACTCTGTGTCCATGTGGTTGCTGGCAGGACAGAGCAACAATCAGGATTAAAAGTTTGATGTATAGTACTAGGATCTAAGGGTCACAGATGTGGAAGGCATTAGAGAAACAAAAACATAAGGACAGGTGTAGTGCATAGAAAAAAAGTAGGCACAGTCTTCAACCTAATGAAAATAACTTTTAGCAAGGCCTTGGCTGGTTGTTGGTGACAGGTGAATTCTAGGCAGGCCACCAAACCACTGAGCTAAATCCCCGGCCCCAGGTGAATGCTTTGCAAAAATTCATATCCAGGCCCAGAAATATCTACTTGAAAATGGCTCATGTTCAAGAACTATATATGTGCACATCTCATAATGTTAGGGTAGTCCAATACTGGAAAATACTACAAAGGGAGCAGCAGAAAACCCTTCAAGTAAAGGGTTAGAGAGGGAAGCCCCGTGTTGGAAATAAGAACAAGTGATTAAAATGTCCAGATTAGGGAAGAAAAGATAAGAAATAAAGTATGGCTCCCACCCTTGGCATCAAACAGTACTGAACACAAGGCCTGAAACTATCTGAACACACTCCTCTACTCTCACTCACCAGGGTCCGTCCAAGCCCCTCCTGCTGTAGTTAGAGTCATGCCCTCTCAGTCAGGCACCCCAGATCCTCTCCTTTGTAACAGTTCAGCAACCACTAAGGATCTGGAAGATACAAGTCACTGGGTAAAGATAGGACAGATAAGTGAGAAAGCATTAGTCCGGAGTAACCCACCCATGCAAGACTCAAACTAATACAGTAAAACCTTGGATGGTAAATAACTTGTTCTGCAGGTGTTTGGCAAGACAAACAAACATTTCTAATGAATTTTAACTTGCCAAACAAGCCATGTCTTGCAATATAAGTATGTGATGCCAAATGTCAGATGCTCACAACTGAGCCAATGATTCCTCTCCCTCAACCCTCACTGAAGAATTGTGGGTGATCATATCCCAACCCCAAAAGGTTATGGAAGGAGAAAAATGGCAGAGGAATCCCTCAACTCCAAATGAGATGTGTAAAATGTGAGAAACTGTGCTATATTTTGTAGAAAAGCACTACCCAAATAGGAATGTAGCAATGTCAGTGATGAGTCTGTTTTACAAAAATGCAATGTAATATCTCTGTGGAATCCTCAAAAGAAGGCAAAAACAAGTGTCATTGGATAGGTTCCTTGTTAAAGGTCCACGAAAAGGGAAAGATTCCATTGAGCCAATAGAACAATGATTCCATCAGTGATAGTGCAAGTTATCCTACACAATAATCCTCCTCTTTCCTCTCTTTCTCACACCAGTCACAAAGGTTTTCAGAGGTAAGTGCAGGTTAATTTGTTCATTTTTCTTTATATTTTGTATTTTATTATTTTGTATTAGATTATAGTACAGTGCTACCTTGATTCACAAACTTGATCCTTTTCCATCATTCCGGTCACAAACCAAGCTGGATGAGAACCTTATTAAATTCAATGGTTAGATTAAATGTTGACCTAATGGGGAAATTTGATTCAGTTCTCATCCAGTTTGGTTTATGACCAGAGTCAACCTAAGTACCACTGTATTGAAATCCTTTTTATATGAATATTTTTGGGTTGTGGAAAAAATCATCTTAGTTTCCATTATTTCTTATGGAGAAATTTGCTTTGATATATAAGAGCTTTGGATTACAATTATGTTTCCAGCATAAATTATACCCACATGCCAAGGTTTACTGTATGACCAAATGAAGGCTGTCTTAAAGGAACAACCCAATGGTCACAATGACCCTAAGAACTGAAATTCATGACAGGTAGACCAAGAAAATGTCAATTAGAGAGATGGCGATCTTAAGCCCAAAAGGGTCCTAACTGGATAGCTATCTCGGGGAGGCAAGCAAGGTGTCACCCTTTGGATTAACCTTGAGATTCCTGGCTTCCAAATCCCTCCTAGCAAAGCTCAGGAAAGTAGTTAGGGAACACAGAGGGCAAAGAGACAATACATAACAGCTGAGCCTTGGCATCCAAAAGCCCTATTTGAGGGAATAAGGGAAAACAGGAGTGCCTATGTTTCACCTATGAAAAGACAAACTCCTGGGAAAAAAGGAAGAGCTGACCTCAGCCCACAAAACTGGGGAAAGTGGGACCATAGGGAATCTGTTGAAGTGTGAGTCACAGAAAGCAATGAATTTGATACTAGTGCTCGAACCTCATCAAGCAGCCTCCACTTCTCCCAGGAAATTTACACAAAGTCACTTTCAAAAGTCTTGGGTACCAAAGTCACCAAAATGGCCTTAGGTAAAATGATAAACTGTCCTTGGCTTCAACTCTTCTGTCGCTCACCTCAAGGAACCACATAAAATATAACATGTTTAATGACTCCTCCAGTAAATCTGAGCTCTAGATCGGATGCCTCACCTGTAAGCTCTCCAGCACAACTTTCTCCTCAGAACTCCAGATTTGAGTGTACCGTTGCCTATGTGCTGCCTCCACTGAGAAACCTTAGTCATGTGCCTCAAATCCAATTTCTAATCCTCTTGAAAGATGGTCCCTGCTCTAAGTAGAGAAAAAAGGGACACTTGGATAGCGTCTCACACCCTATGTTCACAAGCACATCTGAAACTGCAGGAAGCCCTGTTGGTTCTATCTTCAAAATTCTATCCAGAATCTATTACCTTCTCCACCTCCATATCCTCCAGCCAATGCTGTGGTCGAACACAGTCCTCCTGGTGTTTTGTAAGAAGTCTTCTCACACGTTTCCCTACCTCTATCGTTACCCTCCTCACTTATCACAGTCTGTTTTCCAGAGTGAACACAGGAACGCTTAAATCTTTCAAGGTTCAATTTCTTCTCACCTACAGAACCTCTGTGGGTCTCAGCGCCCGCCCAACGAAGGTGCTCTACTCACCCTGTGGGTGCAGGCACCCGGGATAAGGTCCTGAGCTCCTGAGGCCCCCTCGAGGCCACGCAGCCCCTCGCCCCTGCATGCAGGTGTCTGGAACGCCGACCTTGCCGCTCGCTAGCCTGTCCCGGACACCGGGCCTGGGCTACGCTCACTCGGTGTCAGCAATTGAGGACCGAGGACTGAGAGGGGCGAAGGTCCGAGAAGGCTGCCCCCACCCGCGATAGGCACATTCCGCGGCCTCTGCCGTACGTAGACCTGTAGGCAGAGGAGAGGTTTTCTCGGCGCCGCCACCAGCAGCCTTTTTTTAATGGAAACACTGTCTCCTCTCGCCCTTTCCTGCGCCAGACAAGTTTTGAACCGCCAAAAGGTCTGGAACCACCGTTCCGATGGTCCCGCCCCAAGGCCAACAAGATGTCTGCAGAGAGGAAGATTCCGGAAGTCCCGCCCCCACGCCGAACAGCGCAAGTTCTTTTGGGTAATGTAGTTCCTACGGGCAAATCATCCTAGCGCGAGCGTCCCTGCCTCCTGGGTAAAGGCCGTAATACTGATTCTTATTAGCATTGTTCCTGTATACCCATGCCTGTAGTCACTTTTGGGAGCCAAGCTGACAGATTCAGCTGGCCAAGGCTGGGACTCATTGACTTCCAGGTTTTTCATATGTCTCATCTTCCCTGGGACCAGGTAGCCTGGCATTTCCAAGAGTTGAACCCAGGGACTTTTTCCTGTGGGGCTGTACTGGCTCTTGACAGCACCTCTGTAAAGGAAAGCGGCTCTCCTCCCTGGGCAAGCCCCTCTTTTTTGTGGACTTTGATGCAGTACACAACCTGTAAAATTGTACAAGGGGGCACCACTGGCCTTTCTGCAGCCACTTTACTGGCTGTCCCCTGAACTATTTTATCTGCCAACTAGCCAAACCTGTGATCTTCTACATGGAAAGCTCTAACGCTGGACCCTTATATACCACCCAACTATCAGTGTGTGTGGTAAGGGGGGGGCCTCCCTTCAGATAACCACTACCCACATCGACTGTCTAGTACCAGTATGAAACTAAATACTGTTTCTGGCTGCACAGCAACAGCTGTCTATTGTGTGGTGGGCCTACAGTTCAACCTGCCTGTATACCATGCACTTGGCTGAATCTCTTTGTAGGAGTTTTCTTTGGTTTCTTGGGTAGATACAACAATGGTAAAACATCATCTGCACTTCACCTGTCCTAACATCTGCTATAACTCAGAAGAGTTCTACTGTACTCTGTACTCTGTTCTAAATATGTTCTGTCTTAGGGACAAATACCTATGAAGTAGCCACCCAGCCACTGGGTACCTTTATAAGGGGGGCCTCACTCACAGGCCTGCAAGGCTACAGATGCAGCTGTGAGCTCCTGCTCTGTGAAGGAATAGCCGACTTCTCCCTTCTGTAATTGTGACTAAAATCCTAAAGGCTTGTACAGCTGTTCTCTGTGCTATCACAAACACCAACCAAGCCCTTGGTGGCTACATGAATGTCCAGTTCATAGAGGTCCCTGGGTTTGTGCAGCTGCAGGGTTTGTGCCTGCTGTACAGCCTGCTTTGCCACCCCAAATATCTGCTTTGCATCCTTTGCTGTATCCACCTGCTTAGCGTCTTCTGTCCTACTCAGGTTGTACAAGCATTTTAAGATCTGGGATAAATGGGGAATAAAAACCTTCCTATACCCCCAGAAGTTCCTAGAAGAGTTTTTTAACTGTTTCATTGTGGTAGATTGAGGATACTTCTGTCTTATGAGTAACAGCCTCTGGTATTGCCTCTGTCTCACCAGACCAGACAACTCTCAAAAACTTGACAGAGGGCCGGAGATTTAGCTCAGCGGTGGCCTGCCTTGCAAGCGCAAGGACCCGAGTTCAATCCCTGGTACCAAAAATAAATAAATAAATAAATAAATAAATAAATAAATAAATAAATAAATAAATAAATAAGCTTGACAGAGGGCTCATGTCCCTGACCCTTGGCCTTACTAATGGCCCATCAACATGCTGCCAGGCACTGCTGGAAGCCACCAGCTGGTCCAGACCTGTAAGAGAATTAGAGGTTAACATGATATCTTATTTCACCTTCAATACAATGAAATAAATACACATTCGGGTAGCAGACAGAGATCCTGTCTCAGGGCAGACAGGATACACCCAGCGTCACAGTCACTGGTTTACTTTGATGGCAAAAATAAACCTACCTTTAAGTTGTGATGGCAAGTATTTTGTCCTAGCAATGGGAAAGTGACTAATACAGGGCCTTCATTTTTCAACTGTTTGCTCAGCCAGCCTCTCATCATGGAATCCTCTGTATTAATTATGTTTATTTTCTTGGGACCATGCCTCTCATAGGCAAGCTAACTATCCCCTTTGACTAAGTCTTACACACTAAGCCAATATTTTCTGTGCCCTAAATCAACCCAGGGCCAGGTTTCAGATAACTGGATTCCACCTCTGGAACAAAAAGCCCACTGGACTTACTCAAACTAGCCAGTCCTCAGCTGTTTGCTGTGTTGTGCCTTCTCCATGGAAAACTTAAAGGATCTGGCCTGGGCTTTCCCACTGTACCTGCTTCCGCCTCCCAGCCCAAATCTGGTGTTCCTCCTGAGGCCTTGCGTGGCATACAATGCTCCTAGGGGAACTGTGAATCACACTTTTTTTCTTTCAATGCTGTTGACTTCTACATGTCAACTTATAATGAAGATGCTCCCACAAGCAGCTTCTCTTGGTAAAAGGAAAAAATGAACCCTAAGATGGCTACACTTTGGTTGAGGATGTGCATAGAGGGGCATGATTTCCAGCGGAAATTAATCTCAAGTCAGCAACATTTCAGTGCACGTGCACCTCATTAGTCTCAGTGTAAATAACTGACATAACCAAGGTTGACTCTGGCTAGTGTGAATAACTTAATGTAAGTAAGGTCCTTACCGGCACATGGCCCCTACTGTGTATTTTAGTATAAATGTAGACTGCCATGAGAGCTGGGGGAGATTAAGGGGCCAATGGCTGCTGTGAGAACGGGTGGGTTAGGGGTCTGAGGACTGCCAGTGCGCATGGCTGAGTGGCACAGGAGAATAAAGATGCGGAATCCAGTCCACGGTTCTGCAGCTCTTCTTCGGGCTGCCTGAACCTCAAGTGGACCTACCCAGTCTGAACTGGTTTTGAGACAAATGGCATAGCGCAGCAGGATTCAGCGCAGCCCGGGACAAGGTAGAAGCATCATTAAGAGGAGGCACCTGCGGCCAAGGGTTAAAAGTAGACCAGCCCAAAGTAAAGTGTTGAAAGAAGAGGTTATTTGCTGCTCATAAATCGTGTTCCGAAAGAATGCATGCTGCTGAGATAACAGAACTCACCAACACAGGCAGCTCAAGAGCTGAGGATGCCAAGCTGCTTCCATGTAGGAAGGCACCTCTGCTGGTGATACAGGAAATACAGCAGCGATACAGTGCAGGGAGCCTACGAAGGTAAAAAGAGCAGCAGCGGAGCCAGGAAAAGGCCAGAGTGTGCTTCTGGGGCTTTAGGCCCAAGTGTGGAGTTCATGCCACTACAAACAGAATTTAAATCCGAATTCAAGTCAGAGCTGGAGGCAGGCCCGTGACCCAGGCCAGAGCCATGCAAGGAAACAGCAGGCAGCAGATCCTGCCCACATGACTTGAGTTAAGGCTCTCAGAGTTGACAACTGAGTGACTTGTAACAGCAGCACAGACTCTAGAGAGACCATGTGTACACAGAACTAATGCACATTGTATGGGTGCTTGACATGGGACAACCAGTGCCTGATAGTGACAACAGAGGCATTTAGCCAGTGGGGGTTGGGAGGAGCCTGACTGAGGCTGCTGGGGTAACTGGGCCTGGCAGTGGCCAGGAGCCAAGAAGCAGATCTAGAGCTGGGAGGGAGGCAGCCACGGTACAGTCACGAGAGACAATGAGGGGCATAGAAAAGAGCAAAACATTCAGGCTGTAGAGAAACAGCAGCCAAGCAGACTTACAGCAGCTGAATGATGTGCCGTCAACACTTTAAAGACAATTCTGCCCTGATCAACAGTTCCTAGAAGTGGAAGGTTCCCCATGGGAAATAAATGGTTGAAACCTGGAACATAAACTTGCAGGACTATGTGGCCTCTGCAGATGATGCCACAACAGTGTTTAATTTGATTGGGGGCAGGGCCAAGGTGCCCAGTTAAGGGCCATGCAGAAGGACTGGGGGCATCACATTGTGCCTGCTACTCAGCGGCCCCCACAAGTGTACAGCATATTCTCACATTAGTAGACACTGTAGCCTGGACACTGATAAACTGTAGCCTGATTTACGGAAATCCTGATAGGTTCCCAGGCAAGATGGCCTGCACAGAGGTAACTCTTAAGTTAGCTGGAGTTATGAAAATGTGCAAACTAGAAATGCATTCTGAAGAAATAGTTCCAGTCACAAATTATCTGGGAAAATAAGTGAAAAAAATTCTGGCAACATGCTTGGAGACAGATTTGTGAAGTGATCAGAAATAATGAAAGATTGGGAAAATGGTCACGAGTCTTCATAACACAGCCTTTTAGCGTATGTTAGAAAAATACACTACAAAAGGCAGATTATATTGTTGTAGCAGCGATTCATGTAAGGTGCTGTATGGGTAGCGTGCTTGGTTTGCTCAGCACTCTGAACCCAATCCCAAGGAACAAATGCTCTAGGTTGCCACCATTTTGGAACAACTTCCATTGGCCACTGCCTTTCTGGAACATGGTGCTCTGGGACTCTTTTCAAAGCAAAATAATTTCACCTTTCCAGTTCTGGGACTGTGAAGGGTGCAGTCCTGCTGCTTCCTGTGATGCCCTCAGGCCACTTTTCTACTCTCCTGTTCCTTCTTAGCAATCCAAATCTGCTCTGCTCTACCTCTGCAGTCCACAACTTTATTGGAGCTTCCTTTCCGGCCAACCTCAAAACATTTTAAATCATT